TTGCATCCTAACAGAGCAGAGTGTGTATAAAAAAAGAGGGGAAAAATCATATGTGCTGGTGAGATGGGATGTGTGGAAGCCGCTTTGAGAATGTCTTTGAACTTGTGATGCACCATGAAGCTATAAATAAATAAGTATTTTGTTGACAAGATCAATCTCACAGGGAGTTAATTTTGAGAATCCAGATTTACCAGGAGTTTAGGAAAGTTTATTGCAAAAAGTGAGAGAAAATGAAACAATAAGAGAAAAACAAGTTGGAGAAAAACAATCCCCTCATGTTGTTTTTAATAATCTGATTTGTTTTGCTCCAATGTCATTGGTTACTTCTCCAGCAACAGATGGGCTTTCAATAATAAAAAAAATCTGTTCTTTGTCTACTGATTATTCAGTCAAATGCTGCTCAGAATCTAAAGATGACATATTGGCAAACAGTAACTCAGAAGTTGGTGTGATGGGCTTTTAAAAGGAACCTAAAATAAAATTGAATTTCTTTTTCTTTCGTCTGACAAAATCTGCGGTTTTCTATTGGTGCTCAGCAGATTCAGTGACACAATTAAACTCCAGAGGACACAATTACCTGCTGTGCAGTCAGAACAGCCTTTACCTCTGGACCCAAATCCTATTATGGACACCTTGTACTTTGTCTAAAGTGTGAGAACATGCTGTGCTGCTACCTCCAAGAGTAGACTAACAGTTATCTGTGGCCTGCAGTAAACAACATGGAGGTTGTGTTGAAAGAGGTGTTGATTACACGCYGCCAAGCACTAATGAGGTAACAGTTACTGCCAGGGTTCCAGGCTGAGCAGGAAAATTGGAAAAAAAGTCTGTTAGTGGGAGAAATCATACTTCTGGTCAAACCAAAAAATAAAATAACAACATCCTGTTCTCTCATTTCTGCTTGTTCATGCTGAACATGACCCCATCTTTTATTTTATCACAGAAAAATATAACTGTAGACCTAAAAATAAAGTGTCCACATCACACAGAGACACTCATTTCTGTGCTGTGCCATTACCACGACGGCCTCCTAAGGTTTTACAGCGAAGTTCAGCCAGATTATGAATAATAGAGAAAGGTCACATTTTAATGGATTTACACGCCACATGACTACAGACGCATCAATAGGGATTTTAGAGTGATTATTTTTATCACAGACAACAGTGTTTCTGTCTGAACTGCTGCTCTGACTACTGCTGCAATTCTGAACCTAGAATTAGGACAGAAATTAATTTTAAGGGTTAACCACTGTGTTTTATATATGTACTGAGTCACAACTTTACTTTAAGACATTTATTAGGAAGGAATGATAATTCTAAAGTACTTCTTTCAACTATTTCCTACCCAGGGATGAGAGATGATTATAAACAGGCTAACTATTTTTAGCAACTTGTGCTGAAAACAGTTAGTTTCTTTAGATTTTGTGCATTTTCATACTGTAGAGTCATATTTTCTAATAAAAGTCATATGTGTCACATTTATTAAAGGCCCTGACACTAGACAACTTACTTCAACTTATGAAACATTTTTTATGTCTAAATTGCTATTAAACGTTATGTCTTTGATCTATTTGTTTGAATTACATTATGTACAAACCGAAAAGAAGCTTCCTGTTGATTTTTTTCAATGCCATCTTTAATGTAGATGCCTTTAAAATGTTCATAAGTTTGCATAAGTTGTCTAGTTTGACAGGGCCTTAAGATTTAAACTGGCATAAGCAAAAAATATTACTGCAGCTATTACTTTTTCCACACAGAGCAACCATATTGGAATTTGCGACTGAGGTTAAAGGAGGGGGGGGGATGCATTTTCCATGTACAATTCTATTTCACTTTCAAGCAATTATGTTATGAAAATGCTGTAAATATCAAAAATCAATTTGATTTCACGTCTTTTTTTTTGCATAATCTTATATAACAATATACAGTATGCGTTAGCCATAAAAGGAAAGATGCACTGTATCAGGTTATAGCTCTGGGTGCTAGTTTCCACCTTTAGTCCCCGACCCAGCCCACACAATATTATAAAAGAAAGAGGAAAGAAAAAAATCAAAAAGGCATCATAAATATCCAATACAAAGGCATACAATCATAATCAATATAAAATCAATTCATAATATCCATGCTCCCAAAAAGATGTCATCGTAGACGCCACTTATTAAAAAACATACATTAAAAAGACTGACCACTCAATAAAAATAATTTCAGGCAGTTAAACATACCTACAATATCCAAAGCAAAATCACTCTTCAACAAGTTATCACCTACATACTCTCAAAATCAAATACTCCACTCACATCGGTTCACATTATGCGAGCAGGTTTGGTTTAAGAGAAGCCATCGTTTTGTCATGCATGAAAATTTATGAAAGTTTATACATATCAACAGTTCTGTTGGCAAAGTATTCCACTGTTGTGTGGCAACACTTGAAAAAGCTGATTTACCAGAATAAGTTTTACATTTAGGAACTCACCACTCACCWCGAACAGTTGAATGTGTGACTCTAGATGTTTTTTCAGAGTTAAGGGATACAAATATTTTTAAAGGAGGTGCAGCTGAACCATGAATAATCTTGAAAAGCAGACATATATTTGTGTATTTGATTAAGTTTTCAAAACTAAGAATGTTATACTTGGCAAGAATATGACAATGATGAAACAACCGTGTTTTCTTATTATGGATCTTGAGAGCCTGTTTATATAATGACTCCAGTGGCCATAAAGCAGTTTTACAACCCTGAGACCAACTTGTCATACAATACAGAAACTGTGGAATTATCAATGTATTAAAATACATGTTTGATGCCTCAATCGTCAGTGAGTTTCTTATGTATCTAAAATTTATTTAATTAAATTTTACAGTGTTTATTACCTAATCATAGCTTATCTAAATGCATTGAAATTGGCCTCTGTGTTTTTAGGAACCTTCTACCATTTCTAACACTCCCAYTTCAGGGAGGCRGTGCTTTTGTACCAGCAGGTGTTTAGGCAGCTACACGTGTCTATCACAGGAGATTGAATGATTTCTTAAACATGCATGAATGAGTCAAAGCAGTAGTCTGGGTATGTTTTTACACAATACCTCCTTTAAGAATCTCAAGTTTTCTCAGAATTCAGACTTCAGCACAAATGTATCACATCAGTACTCGTCTGTGATGCTCGATGTTTAAGTCATGTTTAAATAGCAAAACTATGATAAAATCTAAATTTGGAGAAATTCATGAACATAATTATTCAGTTTTACAGTTCGTTGAATTGTAGTTGTGAAGTTGGATTATATTTAACCATTTCTAGTTGCACACAAGCTGGAGTCCTCATGTCATGAGGCCAAACAAAATCTATATTCATGAAACGTGTACAGCTTCTCTGTGATATGAGGAGCTTTACTGTTGTCCCTCTTCTCAACAAGACATTTTCATCAGTTGAGAAAAACCATTCATTTGAATCTTAAATCAGTCCTCTGCAGCTTCAAACAGCAGGTCACCCTGACTTTAAACGCACCTCTTTAGTGTATGGCAGTGTGTGATGTGGAAGATGTAATTTAGCAAGAATGTCAACACCGAGCAGGRGTGAGAGTTGTGTCCCCTAGTTGACACGGAGTAAACAGTCACTTAGCGTGCGTGTCCCCGTCCACACTCATAACGCCACTGGAGACTGATGATGGCAGGAGTGTAATTGCTCTGACATCTCGCTGTGACGGATTGTATACGGAGCAGTAATCGGAAATGGATTTAGTTCCAGTAAAGAATAGAAAACATGACATTTGAAATATTCATCCAGCATGAAAAATTATGTCTTTTAGCTTTCTGACCGGCTTTGAGCACAGATAGTTATATAAAATCATCATCATCTCTCTCTCTCACACACACAGATCCTTCTGCTCTCGATTAGCATAATTTTAATTAAACGCTCGCACTTCAGAGCCAATCAGGATGTCATGTCGGAAATATAACGAAACAGAGCTTTTTCTATGTTAATATCCTTTACGGCTGCATTGTCTTGCCTGCCAGAGAAATGAAGAATCTCCAACAACATACTGTATTTGCATCATTCAGAAATAAATGCATTTGTACCATTTTTATGGCTTTAGCTGGATGTTGAGCATTTTCACATGATAGGCTCAAATTCAGGTTTTTACACTAATAAATGCTGGTAAAACTTTAAAGTTTCTTGGAGTACACCTGTTCAAAATTTGCTTTTAATAATTTTGCACAAATATTTATTATGACCAAGTGTATTTGGTTTTAAACTGATGAAATAACCAGAGATTAGATGTAAAGCATTTCTCTTGCACAGGTTTATTAACCTATTTAGAAGCTTTGCTGTCTAAGATTTTACTGGATTTCTTTCCAGTTATCTCTAAAAAGCAATAGCTTGAAAATTTTTAATGTCTTTTTCATCCATCTTTGCACAATCTTTGCAATTTAAAGCAGAAATAATTCAGATTTTTGTAAAGGTGTCTGGAATTATCTTACTGTTGAACTATCCCTTTAGTGATATGTACATTTTACATATGTTATAGCTTTTAATGGTGACTAACATGTCATTAGGGGCACATTTATCTTTTTTGGTAATAGTCAGAATTGTTGAGCTTTATTTTAGAAGCAGAAATCTCTGTGTTGTGTTGTTGCAGAGAAGTCCTGCACACTGTGGCAACAGAGAAATCTAATAATGCAAATAAAAAAGCAAGAACATTAAACAGCAGAGGAGAAATGATTGTTCCGATCCACCTGGCTGACTTGATGTCTCATACTTATCTGAACCAAGGAATGCRGCGTTTGTGGAAACAAGGTAGTTTCTGGCAGCATCCCGACTGGAGTCATCCATCATGTTACTGAACAGAACACCTTGCCTCCAGGAGCCTTTAACCTCATTCAGCAGCATTTATTATGACAACGCACAGACCCACTTCAGTGCACATACTTCATCTTCCTCACTGTCTAACCCCCTAACCCTTCCTCGTGTGCATAAACACACACTGACCATGTGTTTRTCCCTCCTCCAGGTGACTGTTCTGATCATCCTGGCCTTGGCCTTCCTTGCCTGCATTGTGTTCCTGGTGGTTTATAAAGCTTTCACCTACGACCACGCCTGCCCAGATGGATTCATTTATAAGGTAAGACCTTTAAGTGGTTCATATTTCATGATCTACTCTGTCCAGAGCTCAGACATTCAGGAGTTTAACGAACATGGGGTCAAAGAAAAGCTTCCTTTTAGTTCAGCTGGCCTGCAGGCACCTCAGGGTAAATCGCAAATCAAAAAAGAAGTGCAGTTTATGTTGAAACTGATTATTATTAACTTTAATAACCTCTTTATCAAGAAAGTTAGTTTGTGATGCTTGAGCAAAAGACTCAATCCTCTCCGGTTTGACTTCCTCCACCTTATCTTTTGCACTTATCTAAATAAAGAAGTCAAGCTGAGTGCAGCCCCCTATGGGAGATTATAAAAAGGTACTCCTGGCCTACTTCTGTTTTCAGAGGTCATGTAACCAAAAGAGCAGTGGTGGGCACCAGCCCGCTAAAGCACAAATCCGCTAATTGCGGACCTAAATATTTCATTTGCACTTTAGCGGTCTTACTAATTTTTATAATTCGTAAGCGGATTTGCGCTTTCTAAAATTAAAATGCAGTACTGCTAATAAGTAATTATCTACCAGTCATCCTTATTTTCTTGAACAGCAGAAGGTATGACTGTTAATGAACCACAACACACGTGATCTATCCAACAGCACCCCTCCCAGATAAACACACTTATTGGAAAGGTATACATCCTTGCTGACTGTTGCTTTGCGTCATGGTTCTGATTTCCCACAATGCTTTGTGTCTGCTTAYGTAGCAGGAAGGCAGTGTTTAAAACTCCCTGTCCAAGATAAAACAGTTAACGTTTGTAATCCATACTAGAATTTTGTGTGTATTGATTTATTTTACTTCACAATCGGAGCTCCTTTTCTTTTAAAATAAAGTTTAAACGCTGGAGCTCAATACTTGACATAATTAGTCGAAGCAGTGGAGTTACAGAAATGATTTAAAGATGTTATGCTGATGAAGACGGACATCTAGTGGTCAACTGAAGCAACTACATGGAAAACTTTAAAATCCAAGCTCTTATTTTGAAGGGAAGATAATTTCCTGTACTCCGTGCTTTCGTTTCCTGTCACAAATCAAATCCGTCATGTACCCAGAATGCGTTGCTTCAGTTTTCTGATAAACAGTTTTAAAATTACTTTATTGATGCTACTTTAATGAAAAATCTACGACAAACAAAAGAAAAAGACAAAGAAGTAGCCGAACTAGCAATCCTCAACAACTTTTTAAATCAGCCAAACTAGCAATCCTCAACAACTTTTTAGTTTTTACACCAGGAGCCAAAGGTTTGTTTCAGGAAATCACATTCCCAGCAATTGGTGGTTGTAGAATTAAGTTGTAAAAGCGTTCATACACCACTAGTTGGCAGTGTTGTGCATATATTGTACATGAATTGTTGCCAGCTAGTAAGTGTCAAATTCAATTTGCGCTTTAAAATTAGCTTCCGCTAGTTTTTCTATCCGCTAGTTTTTCTATGGCATAAGCGCTATTTAGGTTGCGGACCTAAATATTCACAAGAGCACTTTAGAAATTGCAGAGCTAATTTTTGGATTAGCGCTGCCCACCACTGCAAAAGAGACTTACGAAACCTGATAAGTAATCAGTTAAATTAAACGTTATGTGAGGACCAGTGTAATGTAGGGCAATTTGAAGTTTCTTTKCTTGTCAGAGAAATGCTTTCCATTAAAGCTACTATTTTAGAGTAGTAAGCCTGTACTGAAAAGATTAGAAAAAATAGCCCTATTGTCTACTTTATAATGATTACCACATTATAGTTCMTTCTACATGGCAGAGGTGGTAAAAGAAAATGGCTCTGAGGCTCCGAGYCGTCCTTATCCAACAATCTGCTATCACTGTGGAGCAGTGTATGAATGGCTGCAGAAACCTTTTTCTCTCCTCACTCTGCTGCATTCTGCTTTTGAGGTGCACTGTACCTCRAAAAGAGGTCACCTTGGAAGTCTGTGCTTCTAAATGAATGTTTTTTAAGGTGGACTGCATCTAATTCCAGGTCTCTACAACCTCTGCTTGAGCTATCAGCACAGACATGATGTCACAAACACAAAGGAAAGTGACTAAAGAAAATTCCTACATGCTTTATTTTATATGAGACACAGTATAAAAATGCAAAAGTGTGTTTAATAATGTTCGTTTTCATTAAGAAATAATTACTTTTTTATTCTATAAGATTGTTTAACCTTGAAGAAGCTAAATTACAGTAGTTTTAGCCTGAGGAGCATTTTTTAAACCACAGCGGCATTTTGTGTTTTCTCCATGGTTTTTACATCTTTCAAAGATCAGGCTGATCAGTCACAACGAAAGAGAGCGTTTCCTGGTTTCTGCAGTAAAACATGATGTGTWAGTCCGGCTGTAAACTGAACACAGTGAAGCCAGAGCAGCAGAAAGGAAGTGTGCTCCGGCTGCAGTCTGACAAAATTTGACAGTGCAGTTTTCATATAAGGTTGTGCTGACATGTGGCTCTTCTTTTAGTGCTTTACAATGTGGATGCTGATAATTGCATATTATAAAAAACAAAACTAGACCGTGCTTAGAAACGTTCACAATTATTCCTGCAGTGCAGCTTAAATTTCACAGGATGTGAAAAATAGAATGAAAACCTGCTGGCAGTGCTAAACCATTTAGATTTTTAGAATTAAAAGTTTCACCTTYAAAGATCTTCAAGTTTCATAAAACACTGAACAGAGAGTAGACTCAGTAAAGTTCACCACATGGATTTAGATGCTACAATTACCATTTAAAATGTATATTTCATTTCTACCACATGCTTTTATACAAAGCACAAGGTATTTATAATTAAAGTGTTTACATTTTACTCAGGTTCTGCTTCTTTCTGCTAATTTCTTCTGCATATTTGTTTTTTAGCTAATTTTTGCTTTTTTCTGCTATTTCAGCTGTCTTTCTGCTTCTGCTTATTTCAACTTTTTGTGTGCTTCTTTCTGTCTCTTTATGCTAGTTCAAGCTGTTTCCTGCAATTTAAGCTACTTTTTAAATGAATTCAGTTAATTTGAGCTTTTTTCTATCACTGTAAAAAATGAAAAGTTGGATTTACTTAACCATGTTATTTCAACTGGTTCCACTTAATGGAGTTGAGTAAATTCAAAGCAATATACCAGTTTTTTTAACCAAAGAACATGAGTATGTTGCTTTGAATTTACTCAACTCAGTGAATTGGAACAGTTGACATAACATGGTTAAGTAAATCCAACATTTCATTTTTTGAGTGACATCATGCTTTTGCAATAAGTTCAGCTTCTTACTGCTTAATTAAGCAAACATGCTCTTTCTGCATCTTTCTGGTAATTTGCGCTTTTTCAGCTACTTTTAGCTATTTTCAGCTTTTTCACAAATTTATCACAAATTGCAACTATTTTGTAGTTCTTGTTTTTCTGCTAATGTAAGCTTTTTTTACTTTTTGCTGTCTGCAAAATTCAACTAGTTTTTATTATTTTTAGCTACATTTCTGCTCTGTTCAGTTTTTTTCGACACAGATTTTTCATTTATCTTTTTCCCTACTTCCAGCAAACAGCTGTTCAAATTGARCGCACATTAACAGTTTTGTTATTAAACATTTTCTTCAGCAGCTTTCAGCTAAAATCTTTCAGCAATAAGCATTCACACTGCATATTCRCGGAAAGTGAATTATCTCGTTTTTATTGCTCTGGTACCTGTAGAGGGCTAACACAGTTTGTGACGACAGAACAAATCAATCGCACTCTTCTTCTTCACAGCACAAGAGGTGTATCCCAGCTTCTCTTGAGGCCTACTACGCCGCCCARGACGCCAACTCAAGGGGTCGCTTCTACACAGTGATCAGCCACTACAGCATGGCCAAGCAGACCACCTCCCACTCTGTCTCCCCCTGGCTGCCTGGAGGGGCAACAGGACACGAAGCTAAACCTCCAAGCGGTGAAGGCCACTGAGTTAGCTGAAGGGTTCCTGGATGTAAACATACACGAACACATGTAAAAAAGTAAATGGAGGTAGACCAAGAACAATAGTTTGGTAAACATTTAGAAATATAGACAAAAAAACAACAGCTACAAATAAAAACTAGAATAAAATGCATGCAGGCATTGAGTTGGTGTAGATTTTAAATCATCCAGGTCATGGTAATCCTAAAGGTTTGAATAGAAGACAGCAAGTTCTCCTTTCTTGGTTTTTAAAGATGTCTTTTTTTATTTTTTTGGTTTTATGTGACACACAGGAGGAGCCCAGTTGTCTTTTATTCAAGTTTTCAAGACATACAGACAGGAGACACAAACACATGCTAAAGCATAACCCTGAACATGTCTGCTTATRCTCATTCTCTGAAAGGATTAATGTTTGTGGCTGGTTCTCGCTCTCACACAGCCTGCATCTTCATTACCTTGTTTACCTCCATCTAATTTATTAGTCACTGACTGTCATGATGCATTTGTTTTTTAATGGATGTTTTGTATGTCATTGTCACTTTTTGTACAAAAACACCAGTAACAGCTAATTTTTATGGTTAGAATATCTCTAGCACTTGTTTTTCAGTGTTTAGTTTTAGTGCTTAATCATTTTTCTCACCAATGTTTACCAAACATGATCCACCATATTCCCTTTATATTCATATCTTTTATCATYGTTTCTTAAAAAAACAACTTCTCAGCTGGTTAGACTGAGGTTAACGTCCACTATGACTGAATCTGTTTGTACATCATTGCTGTTTGATAGCTTATTTACACACATTTTCAACATTCTGTGCCATAAATCCTGATATCACCCCAAGCTGTACATACAGTTGTGCATTCATAGCTTTGTGTGTTTGCATTGTAGTAACAAGGTTTCCTTTTATTTAAGACCTGTTTTCTTTATGTGAACTATAAAAAACACTGCTTCAGCTGCCAGTCTCRTAGTWAAATTAAACACAACTGGTGGAAAAGGAGAAATTGTACACGTCTGTTTCGTGTCAAAACTCCTGTTTTCCACTGTGTACTGTTCTCCTATGAGCTTCAGCTGCAGCTGTGTTATTTTTAAATGTTGGATCTGTTGTCAAAAGCGCTTCGATCAGATGTTGTGACGGTGTTAGTTGTATTGATACCTGGTGTAATTTATCAGTGTGTAACCTTGTCCCTGCCCTCTTGGTTTGAACTCAGAATAAAAACAAGCTGTGACCTGTGCTGAGTGTCTGTCAGTTCCATTTAATGCTGTGTCTGTTGCTCCGACACCGGGCCTAATGTGGGTCCAAAGTGATCGACTTCAGCTGCTTTTTGTTTTGTTTAGATCACCGTGCGCTGAAATCACATTCATTCTATGATTCTGCTGTTCATGATAATGAGAATCTCTGATTGACAGCAAGGAAAGTAGGTGAAGATCTGTATTCTTTATGTCCGCCAGATGTTTTATTCATCCTCATGGTTCTCTGCGAACAGAAGATAAGACTTTTTGTTTTGAGTGATCTGAGTAGCTGGCTTTCCTAATTAGAAGTGCGCATTCTGATGAAGCCATCAGCTGTCAGGGTTTTTCATTGCTGCGTCAGACAACAGGCTTTCAGATTAACAGTTTTCGGCGAGAAGAGAAAAACGCAGAGTGTCACTTTAAATTAATGCAGCTCGAGTTCAACAGAATCACAGTTTAAAGCTTTTAAAAAGCGACCGAAGCGCCGCAGTTTCAGTTAGAAGGATGTCATAACATCTGCTCTGTTTGCACAACACATTTGAATCAAATTTTCTAATTTACAYGCCTCTCAGCAAGAAGGTTGTCAGATCCAAACCTGACTTGTTGGAGGATCTGACGAGCATCCATTTGTGCAAGAAGTTTTTATCGTTATTATCATTATTTAGTCATTTTAATGTCAAGAAAAGACCAACAGCTCTTAAAAACTGAACTGAAGGAATATGTATTTAAAAGCACCTGTAAGTGCGTTAGCTTCGTTTCATCATCTCTACAGAGAGAGTCTTGCATCATCTGATTCCAGCGGAGCCAGCTGTATTTTCCCTTCACGTTAAAGAAGCCCACGCTACGTGCAGAGCTTATTTAACCAATCATTTAGCTGACCTTATGGCCCTGATTACTTGAAAGGAACAACTGGAAAGCCAATCCAGCTGAACCCTCTCCCTGTCCCTCTAATAATAACATCATTTTAGCTTCCGGCAGTCTAACGCCTACAAGGCTCCACCTAGTGCAGGATATTGCACTGATACATCCTGTCCATCCACAGCATTACTTTATTAGATTGTTGTTTTTATTGAACCGTCTGAGGTATGAAAACAGCAGACAGAGAGGAAAAAAAACGAATAAGGTGGTTATGATATGAGAAGACACGGGCCAGGATTGATGCTGTAATAATRTTATAAGCTGCTCTCATAAGACTGAAACCAGCTATTAAACCCATTTGTTTTTAGAATGCCAATC